GTTTCTCATATATTTCCATATGTTCATATTTTAATCTGTTCATATCTATCTATCTATCTATCTATCTATCTATCTATCTATCTATCTATCTATCGCAGATTGATAAAATCTTTTTATACTTATTTAGTGTTAGCTATGGAAATATGTTAATTCTTTTGCTACAGTTGAAGACGAAAATGTACATTTATTATGACCATTTAGCACATTTCGTATCCATAGAGCACCTTTTTTTATTAACATTAGCACTCAATGTGCGATACTTTATATATATATATATATATATATATATATATATATATATATATATATATATAATATCTATATAATCTTTAGCTGTATGTTTATATTATTTTCGTATATTCATATTTTTAATCTGTTCATATCTATCTATCTCAGACTGATAAAATCTATTTATGTTTACTTACTTTAGCAATGGAAATATATTAATTCTTATCGATCGCTTTCTCACTTTCTCAATATTTATCGTTTTTAGAGTTCTCCTTATTTCAGTATGCATCATAACGAATGCATAATTTATATAGGATAAAAATAAAGCTATCAACATTTCATTTGAATAATTATTGATATAGTAAAAATCAGATATTGAATATGTACATGAATATATCATATAATTCGTTTACTCGTTTATTTTCGACTGCCTACGATTTAAAATCAGTTTGGTGATATGTATGCAGAATTCCAGATAAATCTGTTCAAAACAGAAAAACAAAAAACGACCAGGAATTGGAATTGATAGCAGTGATAGCACATACACTAAATACATCATAAGAATTCATGATGTAGAATAAATAAATACTAAATACATCAAACACCTCTCTGTATGGATAAGTTACAATAATCTTTGTATAACAGATAAGAAAATAGATCATAGAATTAGTTGTAACATAGATAGTTTTCTACAACACCGCAAGATGCTACAAAACATAAACACAGAAACAGTCTTAAAGCCCTGTACTTAAATAACCTCGTCAGATCGCGACTTTCAAATGGATGACATGAATGGCGCCAAACCGGCCCAGAAATGTGTAAACTCTCTGAATTATACAATCACTTTCTCAGATGAAAGATTAACAATGGGCGAAGGAAGCCTGTGAGACTTAACCTGTATCAGATGTTTTCAAACAACGGGAACTGGTTGTAGCGAATCATTAAGAATTGTACTAAATCACAGAAAACACGACCTTTGAAGACTTTGAATAAAAACGACAGCTCTAATAGATATATAAATTGAAAAAAAAATGATTATTTAATTTGACCTTCAGTATCTCTGTATATTTCTGAGATGAGGTAGTATGTACACTAGTTACATTATTCGGACTATTGTCTTCATCTTTGTCGCCATATTTATTACAACGTTTCGGCCTTTCAGTATCTGTCTATATTTCTGAGTTGAGGTATTATGTACACTATTAACATTATTCGGACTATTGTCCTCATCTTTGTCGCCATATTTATCACAACGTCTGTACGTTCCGGTCTTCTTCAGGTGGTTGGAATATCGAACTGAACCCTTTATTTCGTTCACTGGAGTAGACTGTTCTAGTTCCACGCGTCATGTTTAATGGATGTCAGTTATCATTTATCTCCTGTTAATTTCCTTCTCCAAGTTCTCCACTGCCTTAACCGGGTATTGAACTCACACTCTTTGGGATTTTTCACTTGATTTAACCAACGCCTTTATCCACTCTGCCATGTGTCCACATGGCACAGTCTAATTTGACCTTCCAACTTACTTCAAATAAAAGTTTAGGAAGACCCCCATCAATAATGGAAAGAGCGATAACAGTTACGGGATTTAAGAAACCGAGTTACCCGAAGAATTGTTTTAAGAGAAAGATTTTATAAAGTTCAACCAAAATTAGCACTGGCTCTTTGGTCAATAATTTCTGAGGAAGCGGCTAATATTACCATTACCATTTCTTCTTCTTCTTCTTTTTCTTCTTCTTCTTCTTCTTCTTCTTCTTCTTCTTCTTCAAAAGCCAATTCCTTCCAACTAGTTAGTTCCCCTTGAACGCGAACACGCGGCCTTTGTATTTCACCTTCGGAATCCTTCCGTCCTAATCAGTGACTTGCGTCGATGAGGTCCTTCGCCTAATGGTGCCGTGTTAACATTACTATTACCCTAGTCAATTATTAACAAATTTAATATCATCTGGGTTTATTGTTATCGTTATTAACGTTTAGTAAATGATCGTCTTACCCGTGTAATACCAATGGCGCCAATATTTCCTCCGTACGAGTTAGTTCCATGCCCGATTCCAATCATTCCAGCGATGAAGGTTGCAATGCCTTCAACAAGAACACCACGATTCATGGCGTGTTTTGGCGGGGAACTTACGTAACATATCTTCGCGCATGCGTCATAGTCAGCAATGGAATCTATGATGGCAGTAATCATAGCGACGAAGAACGAGATGATGGTGCTGGCTGATAAAGACAGCGAGAATCCAAAACAGCCTGTAGCGGAAAGAAAACAAATAATTGTAAAAATTAGTAAAATTAAACTTTGTACATGCAATATATTAAGAAAGAATATTAACGAAGTAAATGCAAAATGATTGAATGGATTTTCAATCATGATTTTTTTTCAGTTGAACACAACTGTTTACGCTTCGTGTATCTACGTGGGTAACCGAATAATTAGAGATAAATTGCTTATAGATTAATGGTTTTTATTAATTCTTTAATTTTAACCATAATTGCTATCGTGGTTAATCTTATTATTATTCTATGTGCTGCATCCGTTCAGGACGTGGATGATCATAGCATTCCAAAATTTCTTGTCTCTTGTACCTCTTGATAAAATTTTAATTTTTCTTATCTATCCTAAACTTTGTTCCGCCATACATTTATTTAAGCTCGCTATTATTTTATGCGTTGTTTTCTGTCCCTCTTGACTTCAATATTTCCTGTGTGTATCACATTTACCAAGCCCTCTTTCCTCATCGTGCGCTCTAGAAATTTCAACTGTCATTTCCTGATGTTAAGTACAAGTGTCCTTTTTTTGTTTGCTCTTTTCTCTAAAACCTCGCCGTTGGTAACATGTTCGGCCATGTTATTCCCAGCCTACTTCTGTGGGATCACAATCCAATAACATCAAGTCTCTTTTTCATCTGCGAGAAGATTTTACAGCATTCACTGCCCTATAAGAAAACTGACGTTACGTAACAGTCCAGCACTCTTTTTTTTTCTAACGAAGTATTTCTGTTTCTTAATATTTTGCTTAGATTTTTGGAAGGCACCTTTCGGATTTCAGTATTGCACCCTTCATCGGGGGTTAAAAAAATCTCGAAGATATTTCTACTAGTTTGATTTTGGTATTTGCGTTTAGACTGTCCGTTGCACTTCATACAGTGCAAGGTTTAGGCATTCTGTTCTGAGAATGGATGAAGCCGAGATGCCAGGACAGATTAAGTTGCAGATTTTTCTTTCGATTTTATCAAGACTCTCTATATACGATGAGGTTGCAATGTTCAATGAAGAGACGAATTGTAATCATAAAAATCTGCAAGATTCTAGCAAGAAAATTGTCTAAAATTTTCTCCTAATCTGTGGAGATATTGTCCAGCATCCACCGCCATATATAAAAGATGATGTTGCATAAGTGTTCGCTATTATCTTCTCCGTATCTAAGGAAATGTTTCTTTTATTTGTTCTGGCATGCTAACAGCACGATTCAACCTGGTTTTCCTATTTTGCTTATCGCATAAACGTAAATTCTAGCTTTCGACAAAGTCCATTTACTGTTGCAAACTAGTCAATGAATCACTTTAAGTATTACTCAAAAAATATGCGAGACAATCTTCTCAAGTACTAGACGCTGTTGAATGCTTAAGCATTATTTGTTTCGTTCATATTTTATGAACAATTCCTAAGCTTCAACATGGAAATCTGGAATAAATATCGAGTGACCTGAATCAACCAAACCACAAGGATATTGTACTAAGCTTATAATGTTTTATTTAGTCATTTCACCCTAAGCAAGGCGATAACGTCACAAATACGCAAGAGGCTTACTGGGAGGGAAAAATGGGAAGACTTTAGTCAGGAGAAAGAACAATAAAAGAAATACACAAAGGTTGATAGAAGATGGCGACTGGCGTTACATTGGAACTTTTAAATATTGTCGTTAACTGGGAAGTAAGAAATTAGATGAGTTACACAGGTGAGAAATGCGAGAATAGAAACTAATAGAACAGCTTACCGTTACATTTATCTATTTCAACATTAAAAAGATGGAACCTAGTAGTCAGTCTAGTATGTCGCTTAAATTTTTGCAGACGAGGTGCCAGAGAGGAGAGCTAATTGGAAAATAATATAAAAGAAAATATTTATATAAAAAAGAGAGCGGGAAGCCACGTAACGATGTTTGAAAAATAACTGAAATCAAGATACCAGATACTTCTCTACATACAACGTGTGAAAGCACGTGCGATATTCCGCCTTCATCAGCTGCCAACCAAGACAGCTTACGTGTCTAAGGCTGTACTGCCACCCACGGCGTCACCAGCAGCTTTTGTCACCGGTCAGGGTATTGAATTTGTATACGTGTCAGTCTCTTGCGATTTCTTTTTACAACTGGGACTGAAATTTTCAGAGTAATGTTAAAATACACAATGCACTCGTACCGATCATTATTAATGACGTAGAATGGAAAGTAAACAGATGTGTTTCAAGACGGAAGTAGCATTGCGTTGCGAGCATGGTTTTATTTAGGTTTATTTATCTAGGATTTTGACCAGATCCAACACGACGCCTGTTGAGATTTGGTCTGGAGACGATGTGAAGCAAGCTTTAGGTTCCGGCCATTGATGCATGTCTTCAGAAGGACGGAAACGATTGACCGTGCAAGAAATATGCGAGACAATTAGATGAGAGTTCCACAGGTGAGAAGTGCGACACCCGACCTCAATAGCATTACCGAACTTTCATTGTAGGTTTTCGAGAATCTCAAGATATATGGTCGAACCACTTATCCAGATATGGCAGTAATATTCCATGCACAGGCGAATGGTAGTTTTATAAATGTGCAAGATGGATTCTGGCGCGAAAAATTGTCTGCCACAGTGAAACAACTCTAGAGACTGATTCAATTTAATTGCTCGAATTCATGTCAGTAAAAAAGTGAAACAAACAAGGTGCACTGAGTTGCCGTCCTGGGGATTAGCATCAGCCACACTTCTGGAGGACAAAAATAGACCCTCAATGAAGATTTCAGGATAGTATTTATTTATTTTTCTCATCGCCGGAAACATGTGGAAAGAAATCTCTGCTGCATCAATCGCGTTTCTATTCCTTCTAATCTCGTTTTCTTTTCTGAGGAAATTATCTATAGTTTACTGCCATACAGAACGGATGATAAATCCTAATTCTGTTGTGATTCTAACGTAATTTACATTTTGTTTATTCCATCAGGAGAGTATTAGTTAGTTTTGTATTGTATGTTTGTGTCTTGAGGTAAATAACTTTCGCTAGTACTTACAAAGGGTTTGAGGACAGTTGCGTAATGGACATTTCCATCCCAGTAAATTTTTTTACCAGACAATGGCGTCTCTGGACATCTGCGTCCCTAGACAAATGTGTCCCTGAATAATTGCGCATCTTTGATAATTTTTTAAGGCAGTTACCTTACATTTTGAAAAAAAAAGAAAGAATAGGCATCGTTTTTTAAAAAGGAATAGAAAAAATAAAATTTAAATGTTTATTTTAAAAAAAATGCAATGACAGATTAACAGTGGTGCAAGATCGCTCTAGACATCAACAGTATGTTTCTGTTTTATCGGCGTTTTTCTTATGATAGTGGTAGCTGTAAATTTCCTCGTCCACAAATATTTTTTCATATAGCTTTTGCTTTTCGGAACTGCTAGATTAATTTTCTCTTGCTTTGAAAATAATTTTTCTCTCTTTTTTTATTCATGGTAACTACCTTTCTGCTTGTTTAGAATAATTAAAGGTATTGGTTTGCAAAATTCTATATTAAACAACGCATTAAAAAAAAAAATTGTAACTTCAAAATTTATCAGGGGTACGCAATTATCCAGGGGTGCAAATCTTCAAAGACACTATTGTCTTGTATGCAATTGCCCGAGACGCAAATGTCCAGTATGCAATTGTCCGTGTGCGCTTGTAAAAGCACATTGAAGACACGAGGGACAGAAGAAATCTGTTAAAAACCTATGAAACATTTGTGCAAATGCCTGGCAAAACAGGTATTAGAAGCAATAGCAAGCAAAAAAAATAATTTCTACAATAGAGAGGAAGTTGTCGAGAGCTTTAATCATTTAAGGTTCGAAAGAATAGAGCGAACAGAAGAATAATTACTTACAACCCAACGTAATGTTTATATCAATTTGTAAATATGTCTTTTCAGTAGAATTTATCTCGTTTTGTTCCCTGGCGTCTCGATTACATGGATTTAAACGGGCTATTAAATGACATATAGATAGGTCCCACTCGTTAACTGTTAAAATAGCTAAATGCATCTGCCACTTCTACTCCAACATTTTTTTTCTCACAGTTCCCTTCCGTGTATTTGCTTCCCTGGTAACTACAATCTTCAATCATTTAAATGCAACCTCAATCGCCATTTTATATCTTCGTGAATACCGTTCATATTTTGACCTTTCTTCAATCTTCCCTATATTCACTTTTTCACTCCCTGCGTACTAGTGGTATTTCCGCCTTTCTTGGGGTGAAATGAAATAAAATAAAAAGATTCAGCATATTTTATTGATTCACCTGTAGCACTTTGCTGGTTGAAGCCTATTAATTCAGTTTCAAAGTCATTGGCAAAGAATCCAATATTTTTGGCGGTATATTCTAGATGATGTAGCGGCACTGTGGCATTGGTAGTTCAGGGATAGCTAGGTAATATCCGTAGCCATTATTTGTCAACGATTTTGCAGGATATCGACTTGAAAATCTTGGTGTACTGAAAAGGGTCTGGCATTTCGCATAGCTCAAAACTGGGCCGCCTTATAATTGATGTAATCTGGAAATCTGATCTATCAGAAAAATTCAAACAGATTCTTTCGAGCGAAATTAGAGGCGGTATTGATGTATTTTGCCACTTCTTGGACATTGACTAAAACTCCAGAATCTCAAGCTTAATGGAAACCATACTCAGATGCTGATAACTATAGAACTCGACCAAATAATAGATATCTGTTAATATTAGTTTTAAAAATTAAGTATTATATACACATGGTACCTGGGTATGGGAAGAAAATCCAAGGGGCCGAAGAAATGACGTATGTTTTTGAATCTGTCCGTGCCAGAAATTCTTTGTTCTTTGGATCATCTGACAGTAAGGAGGATGCCGTCAGAATAGCACATATGATCCAACCAAATATGGTTGCTATTAATATCTGTTATAAGAGAATAAGAAAATGAATTATTTTGTCATCAGAAAATAATATACAGTGTAACCCG